GATCATCCTGGAGGTGGCCCCGGGGGAAAAGCTCGGCGGCTCTGCGAGAGCCGTTAATTGCAATCAGGCGATCCCTACAGCATCCTGCGCTCAGAGATCTTCCTCACCCCCGAGGTCCCCCTCCGCGGATTTGTCCTTCAGGCCTATCTACCCGGTGAGTTTCGCCGCCTCCCTCTCCAGCCCGCCGCGTGGCAGGGACCCTGGCAGGTAGTGCACCTTCTTGATGGCTTCCTGGCTGTTGCCCGCCGCCTCCAGAGTCTTCTGCACGGCCTCCATGGGCGTGATCGGACACTCATTCAATTTGTTGGCCTGCTGCTAAACTCCCAGCATGATCTGCAATGGGCGGCCAAGATGTCCAGCGCCGTCGGCGCGAGCATCACCTTCTTCCAATAGTCCTGGAGCACGCTTTTGGCGTCCTGAGGGGCAGTGTCCGCGCCCTCCGTGCAAGCCCACTTGATGGATGCTTTGAATGCGTGAGACCAGGGCGGCCCGCGCGCGTGATCTTTGCCGTCGGCCGGGCAGCTCTCTGCATAGTTGCGCCCCGTCTCCTGCAACACCTTCACGAACGGCACATCGGCGCCCACCATGTAGAACGTGTAGCAAGCGCCGGTCACCTCGGCCAGCGCGAGCGCGCTGGCGAGATCAAGTCTGGCGATCACTACCAGCAGGGCCGCCAGAGCGCCGCCCCTGCCGACATCCCGTTTGTCCTCGGCCTCCTGGCCGAGAGCCTGCAGCTGTCGAGCCTGCTTGGCACCCTTCGCGTCGTCGCTGCCCCCCGGTACTTCGCGCTTGCCGACCGCCCAGGTGGGCCCCTCCACCGCCGCTGCCGAGCACGAGGGGCAAGCCTTCGACATGAACGCGCGCGTGGATCTGGAGATGCCGCTCTGAAACAAGTTGAGCCTCACACGAGCGACAATCGAAGGGGCCTTCGGGGGCGTCGGGGTCGAGGGTCGCGCTGGGCCGCTGATTGCAAAAGCCCGAAGCGAACGAATCCAAAACGCGGTTGTAAGCGGAGTTGCGGCTCTGACACCTGCTGCAGCAGACGAAGCACGAAGTCCCCGGGGTGGCCTCTGCAAGAAGGGTCTTGAAGCCGTGGGCCACACGAACATGTATCAGCCATTGTCTTTCAGTCAAAACCATTCCCCGCAGTCGTGATCCGTGCAAACATAGCCTTCGGCTTGTCCCGCGAGTGCCTCGGGCGGAGCGGGCGGGGCCTGCTGGGGCACCCCTAGGAGGGGCAATGCTGACCGACAGCCGAGCCGCCCTGACAACCGAGAGGTCCAGCACCATGAACCAGCCCCTCACATCCCCCTCCTCGAGAAACTCCAGCGGGGCTCCAGACCGGGAGCTCATATTCCCCGCGATGTCCGAAGACGCCCTCCGAAGGGCCTCGAACTCCCCGACGCATTGGACAGCCCAAGGATTCGCCGTCGGCGCAAGGGGGCCCTCGGAAGTCATGGCACGGAACCCTCGCGATCTCTCGACTTTCATGTCCCCGAAGACGAGGGGCCACTCGCCCACGTGCCTCTCGGGGTCGGCGGCCCACTTCTGACGCCGCTCCAGCGGGGGGGCCCTCCGGCACCTCCGAGCGCGGCCCCCCTCCCAAGACGCGGCCGCCCCCCTCGTCGCCTTGCGCCCGAAGAAGACAACCCTGGACGCGAGCGCGTGGAGCTGGCTCTAGGTCGAGAGAAACGCCTCGCACGCCGAGCAAGCGGGGCCCGCGACCCGAGCAAGGACAACTGCACGCCTCTCAGTGCAAGCGATGCGCTTCGAGTACCAATACTTACCCATGGACAGGAGACCCGAGGAGATCGCGGCCAGTCTGGAGGCCAGCTCGGCCCGAAAATGAACAATTGCCCACAACCTGGCCCCCGAGGTGGCGAGTGGCGCCTGCTGGGGCCCCAGAGAGGATTGCCTTTTTGTTCCGATCACCTCTCTCCGACGCGCATGCAGTCCGTCGCCCACAGGACAAGTGGCTGACGTTGTTGGTCGGGTTCACGGCGTGGCCGTGGCGCTTGAGCTCAGCCGGCAGAAGGTCGCATGCCCTCGACCACCGCGATAGCTCCAGAGTCGATGTCTGGCCCGCCACAACGATATTTCTGTCGGCGTCGTCTACGCATGAGCGAAACGCCAAATCCAAAGCAATCTCCTCCCCGTCGTAGTGCGACGTGATCTCGCGCCAAGTAGCCGACTTGGGTCCGAACTCGGTGAACTGGTCTGGTACCGTCTCGAAAACCGCGCTGATGCCCCGAGCGAAAACTTTCGCCGCCCATGGGTCGCCGACGAGCCCGCCGACGCTGGGGCGCGCGCTGACATCTCCGAACATAACTGCAACAAAGCGAAACCGTTGCCTCCCATACATCGCCTGATCCGTCTTCATGATGCTGTCGTTCGCTGTTGCCAGACGGCTGCAATCCGTCGAAGCGAAACCGTTGGCAATATCTTTCCAGTCCGTCACATGGTTACTATCCAACTGTCGATACCTCCACGCGCAAAGCTGTCGGCCAAGGGTCGCCGTCTCTCGGCGCCGACGGGGGCTGCGTCCGCGGTCGAAAAGTGGCTCGGCCCGGAGCTCGGCGGGGTCGATCGCCGTGGCCATGGATCCCTTGCCGAACGGGCCCAGGAGGTGGATGGCGCGTTCCCAGGAGAGCGCCGCCCCCTGGCGCAGGCGCCAGACAAATGGAACCTGTACAGGTCTTCTCAGCCGATGCATTACGTAACATCACAAGGAACCTGCGGGTGCACTCCTGATTGATCTCGGGGGTCGCGTGGCCAACGCCATGATATCGTCGTGAGACTTCTGCGATAGGGATGCAGCACCATCCACCGCAGCTCCAAGCGCGCTGACCACGGGGAGCATGCCCGTCGCCTCGGCGCTCGCAAGATCCGACGGCGCAACTCTTGCAAGCGATGCTTTGCCCAGACGAGCCCCTCCTCAGCCCGCGGCGCGAGGAACTGCTGCGCCCCCTGCCCTGTGATGTCATCGTAGATGTAGCGATCGGCCTCTGCGATCAAGTCGATCGTGGCGGCTGCCGCGCTGCCCTGTCCAGCGGGTAGAGCCCAGCGCTCAGCAAGCTCTCCTCCAGTGGGAAGTGCCACGGGTGCGCGCCAATAGTCGCGTCTCCTGGGGCCCGCCCCAGTGCCTGCCAACAAGCGAGAGATCCGCGCCACCTCGGCACAGCGTCCTTGGCGGCGAGCCTCGTTGAGCTCGTCAACCGTGTCGGTGCGCCATTAGTGTGACAGCGTAGTTGCCACTGCACCGCCGCCAGCTCTGTGTAGACGCGTGTCGGGAGCGAGTCGTCATTGCCGTCTGTGGGGAAGGCAGCCAGTTGTAGTCGGAGCGCCCGTTGATGGTCCAGCAGCGGTTAGATCGTCTCCGTCAGGGCGCGGTATCCAGGTCGGTACTCTGGCGGTCTCGCAAAGTGTCGGCTGCCCATGGTGACCCACGCATTCATGAAGAATCCCCACTCCGCATCAGGCGTGTGTTCGTCAGCCTTTATCCGCTCCCATTCGGCAGTGCGATCACGCATATACTGTTCCAACTCCAATAGAAAGCCCGTCCGTCCCAGTCCATTGCGCACTGATTGCATATGAGGGCCTCCCTGTTCCAATGAATGCGCTGCGGTACGTAGCCTAGCCTCGGTTGGGCCGTCATGTCGCAGTGGAAGTGGGCGCTGTTAGTGTACGAAATAGAACACTCGAAGCAAACATGTACGTGTACATGTTCATGAGGCGGTCGTGTCGCAATGGCCTGTCGATGGCGGCCCAACTGCCTCAAGGGCCCAGCTGAAGCAACATCACCAAGCATCGTCTTGGGCATGAAAATAGCACCGACCTGCGTGGCGCCCTTTGCGCCGAAGAAAGGAGGGCCGTGGCCGATGCACGTGTTGACCGCCACCATGCCGAGCTCCCCCATGAAGGGCGCGATGCAGTCCGCCGCGTAACGCTGCTTGTCCTGGGCAGCCACGCCATGAACCTCAGTGTCCGTGGCGCGCCACGAAGTGTCACCGTCGAGCTGCTGGTAGCCGAAGCCAGAGTTGAGGTCGACGCAGACTATCGGCAGCACGCGCTTGGTGCTGAGGTAGGGTAGGGGCCGCATCCAGTTACTAGCGCCTCGCAGGTGCGGCGGTAGACGTCGGCGCTGCCCTTCACCGGCGGCGGCGGGAAGTAGGCGGAGCGAATGCCGATGTCGTAGGCCGAACAGCGAGCTCGGAGGGCAATTCCGCGGCCCGCAAGCGAGGCCGCGGGTGTCCAAGTGCGCGTGACAGATGAGCGCTCGATCTTTGCCCCGAGGTGGATGGTGCAGCCAGCGCTCTTGTTGGTGAAGGGCCCGCGAGCCCACCCGCTCTCCAAACACCAGTTGTGATCTCCAGCCTTCCGCCAACGAGCCCCCCATGCCCGCTCACGACCTTAGCTCTTCGCAGTCGTGCCGTTGAGGCACACGAACTCGTATGACCTGCATGCCTGTGCAATCGAAGTAAGTCTCTCTCCACTCGACGCGTAAACTGGGTTGGGGTTGTACTAGAGAGCGCGCGTAAGTCGTCCAGCCATCGCGCAGGCGAGAAAGAACCAGCAGCCCACACCGCAACATCTACAAGCCATGAGGTGAGATGCAAGCTGTGTAGGGGATGCCTCAGGGCAGAGGCATGTCGTGGGTGGGGGAGCGGCCGACTGTCGCCCTTGGCGTCTGCCTGGGTGCTCCTGACCCAGATGCCTTGACCAGGAGGAGGAGCCCCACCCATCAGTGTCCTGCTTGTCCACGGCTAGAGAAGAAGGCCCTGCAGCTTAGGCGAACGCCTGTATGACACTCGGAGCCTACCCTGTATGACTTGCTGTGCGAATTGCTGAGAGACGGGGGGAGAGGCACGCAAAGCTTGAAAGGACGAATGGATGGCGTCCAATGCAACAAGATAACTAGGCAGAGCATCGGGGCCCGAGAGGTGAAAAAGGTGAGGGAGGAAGAGGAGGAGGAGGAGCAGGAGCAGGAATGCCCCCCTCGCCTTGAACACCGGCACCACGACCATCGCCAGGGAGCAGATGAAGGCGCCGTGGCTGGCGTCGGCCGTCTGCAGGCCCACCGCCTGCGCGCCCCACAGGCGGCCAACGCCCCCCTCCCCCCCCGATGGCTCGCGCGCGGGCCGAGGATCCGAATCCTTCGCGTATAGCCCTCGTCCTCCAGCTCTCTCTCTCTCTCTCTCTCTCTCTCTCTCTCTTCCTCCTCCACTCTTCTCGCCCTCGGCCTCACCCTCGTCCTCGTCCACGTCCACATCCTCACCCGCCTCATCCTCCTCCTCGTCCTCCTCCTCCTCCTCATCTTCCTCCTCCTCCTCATCATCATCAGCAGCATCAGCATCAGCATCAGCATCATTATCACGATCGCCATCACCATCAGCAATTCCACCATGAATCATCATCATGACCAGCATCAGCATCAGCTTCAGTAGTATCAGCATCATCACCAGCAGCATCAGCATCATCACCAGCAGCAACATCATCACCTGTACCACCGGCATCAGCGTCATTACCGAAATCACCATGCTCAACATCATCATCATCATCATCAGCAGCAGCAGCATCATACTTAACATTATCAGCATTATCATGACATTGATTAACATCATCAGCAACATCAACATCAGTATTCTGCGCATCAGAATCCTAACCGCCATCATCATCACCATCACCATCACAATCGTCGTCCTCGTCAGCATCTTCAGCATCTTGATCGACAGCAGCGATGCCAGCATCGTCAACATGAGTATCGCCAACATCATCACCATCATCATTATCATCATCATCATCATCATCATCATCATCATCATCATCATCATCATCATCATCATCATCATCATCATCATCGTCGTCAGCATCACATCCGCATCATCATAACCAGCAGCATCATCATCACCATCATCACCATCAGCAGCACCATCATCGCAATCATCTCACCATCACCGACATCAGCATCAGCATCAACATCACCGTCGTCGTCATCGCCATCCGAAACATGACATTTCACTCCACTCCTCCCTCTTATCCCCCCGCCCGCGTCCCCGCGGCAAAACCTCCTCCTCCTCTCTCGCCGCGGCCCGCCGCGCCTCGCCTCCCCCCCCACCCCGTGCGCCCTGACGGGCGTCCTCGGTTCCGCGCCTCTGCGCTGGGGCGCCTGTTCAAAATGCTGCTCTCGCTGAAGCGCTGGCTTCATTGTCGGGCGACCGCTCGTTCCGAATCGTGCTCCCGCTGCAGCGCTGGCCTCATTTCCGCGCCTCCGCTCGTTCCGAATCGTGCTTCCGCTGCAGCGCTGGCGTCATTATTTCCAGCGACGTGCCACGGCATCGTGTTCGGTCCTTCCAGATTGCCCCAACATTTAGAAAATGCCCCCCCGAACAAAAACCATCGGAAGTGATTACACGTTCGGTGCCGATTCGTTGATTGTTTGGGCTGCGGAAGCCCCCACCACCCTACTTCGGGGCATCGCCGCGCCATGCTATGTCATGCTACACGTTAATATTCAACACCATGCTATGCCATATAATGCTATGCCATGCTGCGATATCCGACTGTGCGAATAGAGAGGAGGTCCACGCCATGGCAAGGAATGGGAGGGATGGGTAGGACGTCAGATTTGACGCGAGCGCACCTAGCTTGACTCCCCCTCCTCCCCCTCCCCCTCCTGCTCTTCCTCCTCCATTCCTTTCCCCGTTTACATGGCCCCTCCCTGTCGCACCCGGAGACGTGTCGGTAGGGCGGGATGCGCCTTCTCACAACCTATGATCCTGAATATTAGAAGCCGCAAGGGTTCCACCGATGGAGGGCGGCTCCTTTTCAAAATGTGGCTCTCGCCTGAGCGCCGCGCATGTTCGCCCTGCACATTTGCAAGAGCTTCGCGGATGAAGGCCGGCTCCTCTTCAAACTGTGGCTCTCGCCTCAGCGCCGCGCACACTCGTCTTGAGAGCTCACAACAGCTTCAGTGAGTCTTATGGCTGCATGGTGTTTGGCACGACGCCAGACTGTCAGGGCGCAACAGTCGCGTGGATTTGCGGTGTTAAAATCCGAAGAATGGCGTTCTGGCGCGATTGAGGATCGCCAGGACGCAACAATAACGGTAAAGCGGCGTTGAAGTCCTAGGACTGGTGTTTCGGGACGGTTCAGGATTTTCAAATGGGTGTCTTCTAACGGGGCACTCCCCTCAGTGAAAACGAATCCTTGCAGACACCCATGCAGAGGGAATCTGGAGCGACGGCTTCTTGCAACCATCGCTGACGGGTCTTGGGTTTACACTGGACCTTCTCCTCCGGTGAGGCGAACAGGTATCACGTTGGGAAGAACATGGTTTGGAGGATGAAGGGTACGAGCAATAGCACCCGGACGCAATGCGCGATACCATTGGCCGCCTACGGGTAATGATATCCTCGCTTCTGACATAGGGGAACGAACAATGACATAAACATAAAAATTCTGAGGTCCGCGCGGATTTCTCGGATCGGCGCTGGGGCCCCCCAGCGGCGCCTCTGGCGCCGCCCCTGGCGCGCTCCGCGCGCCAGGGAGGGGGGTCCAGCGCCGATCCGAGAAATCCGCGCGGACCTCCGAGTTTTTATGTTTATGCAACTTTTTGTTCCCCAATCCCACCCCCATCCTCCCAACCCGAGATCTGTCTTCCTGACCCTTCACTCCCTCCCCCGCCCCCGTCCCCGAAGACCTGGGCTACGTAGCCGAAGGCGCACCAGAGGCCGATCTCGGCACCCGACTTGATGTTGCCCCAGGACGCGTAGCGCGGCAGCAGCGGCAGGAAGGGAACCATCGCGCCGACGAAGCGCACCGCCGCCACCTGCCGCAGGCTCTGGGGGAGCGAGCAGCGCAGGCGACGGCGCCGGGCAAACACCGAAAGTGGCAGCTCCCCCTCCTCCTCCCCCTCCTCCTTCTCCTCATCCTCATCCTCATCCTCTTCCTCCTCCTCATCCTCTTCCTTCTCCTCCTCCTCCTCCTCATCATCCTCATCCTCCTACTTCTGCCTTTCCTTCTCCCCCTCCTCCTCCTCCTCCTCCTCCTCCTGCCCTATTCCTCCTCCTCCTCCTCCTGCTTCTCCTCCTCCTCCTCTTTCTCCCCGCCTTCTGGCATGCCGGCCTGGTTTTTGCCATGGCGTGACCTGCTGGGCATTTTTACTGTTTGGAGGGGGGGCGGCCCTCCAGATGTCTTACCACCGGCGGACTGCACAGTGCAGCCCTGTCGCACGCCGATCCAGCCTTCTGTCTGGTCGTTTGCGCGACTGGGATCAGATTGCGAATGCTGACCAACAGACCTCCGTGCCCTCCTTTTGCAGTCTGGCACTGCAGCTGTTCATGAGAGCGGTGAAGATCGCGGCACACCCTCAACTCTTGTGGCGCAGGTCGAAAAGTCCCGCCCGTCCCGTCGTCCTCCACCTCCTACCCTCTCCCTTCTCCTCCCCGCCCCCGCAGTCGGACAAACAAGTGGCACCCTCGAATCCGTACCCCACCTTCCTCCCCGCAGATTCAGAGATGGCCCTAAGCATCCGGCAGCACAGGCACGAGAGGACAGAGAAACTGGTACCCCCCGGGCCTCCGCGGGGCCACAGCCCACACTTTGAATCGCGAGGGGGTGGGCGAGCACGGGGCAGAATACGAAGGGCTCCGACTTTATTTGTCCCCGCACCGTCCCTCCCGCCTCGGACCCTTTGCTCGTCGCCGGACCTCCTGCTTTGCTTGGGCGGCGGGCCCGCCGATAGCCGCCGCTCGGTCGCCAGCTCAGGGATCCAGGAACCGCATGGCAGGAGAGCCCAGCATCGAACCGATAAGTCGGATCGGCAATCGAGATTCATCGGATCGGCGGAAAGTCGGCAGCCAGGTCAGGGAGGCCGAAGTCGGCGGAAATCGGCAGACCAGTTAGTCGGCCCCCATGGAGAAAAATCGGAATCCAGATCGGAACCCGAGGTCGAATCGCATCGAAATCGGCAACCGACGTCGGAGTTGAATCGACCCGGAAGAATCGAAACTCTCCGCCGCCGGGACGTCCACTCCCCGTGGAGGCGTCGGTATCGCGCGCGTTTCTTTCTGCTGCGCGGCGACCCAGGACGCTCCTCGACGGGGACAGCGCGCGCACGTCCCGGTCCCGGCAACGCCCAAGGACACGAGGCCACCGCACGGCGACAGGGCCCTCGGGAGGCGCTGGGCACGACGCAGGCAGGGGAGAAGGAGGAGGAGCAGGAGGAGGAGGAGGAGGAGGAGGAGGAGGAGGAGGAAGGAGGAGGAGGAGGAGGAGGGAGGAGGGGGGACGGGGAGAGGAGGAGTAGGAGGAGGAGGAGGAGGAGGAGGAGGAGGAGGAGGAGGAGGAGGAGAAGAGGAGGAGGAGAAGAAGGAGGAGGAGGAGGAGGGGACGAGGAGGATACGTAGGACGACGACAGGAGAAGGAGGGAGGGTAGGAGGAGGAGAGGAGGGACAGGAGGAGGAGGAGGACGGCGAGGAGGAGGAGGAGGAGGAGGAGGAGGAGGAGGAGGAGGAGGAGGAGGAAGAGGACGAGGAGAAGGAGGAGGAGGACGCGCACAACCGTGAAGGGTACGACCGCATTCGACATGCACAACTACAGCGTTCTGAAAGTATGAAACCGATGTAACTAAACAAGACAGTCTCAGCCAGAAAGTCGGCTACACGCAAGAGCGACCCAAGACAAGAGTGACCTTTAGTGCGCGGCATTTGGGGGGCCGCGGGGGGACCAAACACAAGCGCGCAAGACGCTACCACCGCATCGCGTTCGGCGATGGGGGGACCCCACTTGGCCCACACCAGAGGCCACTCCGGCGAAAGGTCACTCTCACGTCTAATCGAGAAAGGTTCTAATAACATGTCGCGCAGACCCCAAAAGATTCGTAGAACACTCTTACGGTAGGCCTATCTCAAGGGGCCCAAGGACACACAAATAAATACACACAAATAGAAAGGATCCCCCATATTTTCCCATATTGTATGGATTTCTGCCTTCCCGCCCAATTCCCAGATTTTCCCATATTTTCTTGGGAATCGTCGATTTGTTGTGTCTGTGTGCTGTTTCCCCTCCTGACTACAGGCGAGCCAGGACGCTTCGCCGCTGCTTGAAACAGCGTCGCCCGCGAGGCACACCGCCGCGGGCGGCCGGGCCCGCGTGGGGGGGGGCCGCGCAGCGCGGCTGGGCCCCGCCGGGCACCCGCCCACGGCCGCTGGGGCGCCCACGACCGACTCGCTGCGCCCGTCGCCGAGCAGCTGCGGTACAGACCGGCGGGTCGTGAGAT